ATTTCTCAAGGAAAATAGGGAAGCAGACGTTCAGAAGATGCTATTATACATTGGAAAGCTATATTCAGAAAGTTATTCACTGTCAAAATGGTAAATGTATTGATGGGCATTCCTGAACTGTGTACTAGCTAATATTTTCTTTAATGACCAATCTGGTAGAATAAGACTGCAAAATATATTTGCAAACATGAGTCGCTGCAGGTCTGCTGGAGGATTCCAAATAAGTTTGACAGACTGGAGAAATAGTCTAAAAAGAATACAATTCAGAAAGTTTAAAGACAAGATTCCACAGCTAAACTACAAAGAGAAGGAGAAACAAGTGAGTAGATGGTGGTTCTTCAGAAAACACTGAAATTCATACTGGCTCATACACTTCAAACTATCAACACTGTCATGCTGTTTTGAAACAAATATGGTCTGTAAAACAGGTTGTTTTCTACTTATTACTGGAAAGCCTTCAACTGCATTCCTGGGTCTACTTCGAGGAAGACAGTCAACTGAAGAAAGGAACACCAAAAAAAATCTGATGTCTGGAAAAACACAACTTATGGCAAAAGACAAAGAACTGAGTTATTAAAGTTGGAGGCAAAGAATTGCAGGTCATAGCAATCCAAATAACCGGAGATTGTTGCAAGAAGGAAATAATCTGTTCTCTACACAAACAAAAAGCAGATAAAAGATGACAGAATGCAACTGCTGCTGCAAAGAAAACTGGATACTAGGCTGGAAAAAGTCTGCTAAGGACAGGGTTTCTAAGGCTCCAAAATGTATTTGTTGAAGTTTTTAAGAGAAGATTGGACAAACATCAGTAGAGAATGCTTTTGGCGTAGTTAAGCCTTCTTTGGGAAAAGAGAATAGATCAGGTGACTAAAGCTCATGCCCGCCCTGCTTCCTATGGTTTTGTGATTACAAAGGAAAATGCAATCCCTCAACCTAGGAAATGTCCAAACACTAGGAGTTGCCACTTGATCTTCAAAGCGAAAGTGGGATCTGAAAGTGATGCACACCATTTGTATGCAAATGAATCCTCTCATCTCTTTTCTCCAGCCATCACACAGTTCCTCCTCCCACCCTGCACTTCTCGCCTCCCCTCTATCCCCACCACATTATGCTGGGGAAGCAAAAAATGTGGCCCTCTCCCAGGAACCCGTACACACTCTACCACACACGTCCTGGTGCATAATGTCACATCCCCAAGTGCTACCTTGGAGCCTCTAAATATGCAAAACCCAACTTCGTGACACAGATCACACATGGGCTTCAAGGAGTACCAAGGGGAGGGTTACATCCTCTCCCTCCTACCTCCTCCATCTGCCCAAAGCAAGCCACATGCCAAGGAGAGAAAAAGAAAAGCCCCTTACGCTATGCAAAGTGATTTTACATCTCCACAGTAAATTATGCTAATTAATGTGAACGCAAAACGGCTCAGGGCTATTCTAAAGGATACAACTACTTCAGATCTGCTGCTCTGTTCTGAATTATTCCAAGGCTTGGTCAGAAATTGTCCACAGAAACATTTCTGCATTAGAAAAAGCCTGTGCTCCAAAGTGAAGTACTGCCACACTTTTACATTTTCAAAACCAATTAATTTAGAAAGAAAAAAAACTCTATACATTTGATCAAAGAGCATGATGAAATATTTTTTGAATTTCAGGTTTTAATTTGAGAAGGAAAAAATGACTTAACCTAAATGTAATCAAGCTGTTTTGTGAAGAATAAAAATAGTTTCCAGCAGATGTGTCCCACACAGAAATTTCATATCTTTGAGATTTAAATTTGTCAGATTTGTTTTATGTTGATCAATGCATTCTAGAGTTATCAAGGAGAAACTAAATAGACAGTGACACTGCATAGGTGTAATTTAAGAAATCAGCCTCAAAGTTAAAAATTAAAGAACGTAAATAATTAATATTTCAATAACATATTTCTTCTGTTAAATCAAAAATGTAAGGAATTTTTCCATACAGCCCAGTTAGCCAGAAAATTGTCCTTGATAAAGAATATCAAACCAAATACTTATTTATCAAAGTGCTATAGCCCACCTGGCTTGTCAGTTTGAGTTAAGTATCATTCCAAAACATGAATATACTCAGCCAGAAATCCAGAATTCAGTGCTTTCCAAAGTAAGGAAACCAGATAAATGAACCTAAATAAAATATATCTGGTGGACTAATGGGTGCCTAATGGTATAATATTTAGGGTAGATGGATCATACTAGCCTGCTGACTGATGTATATCAGAGGCAACAGGTACTATGAAAAGAGGAAATACACACTCCAGTTCTAAATTATTTCTGTTAAAATTGCTCTGGCATCATGATTTGGCAGAGTGCCACTGCATGCATGTTGCTGTAAAGTCATTTTAAGATGGCAATTAGAGATAATTAAACAGAGAAAAAATAGAAGTATCAACTGTGAGAGTATCTAAAATTCCAATGAGTAGTTCTCATTGAAAGCACAAGTAAACTGTATTTAGAGGTAAAAAAAGCTTCAAATACAGAAACACATTAGACCAGTTAGATATCTAACATCCCACAAATGGATAGAAGTTACAGTTGCAGTAACAGGGCTCAAAACCCAACAAGTGTGCTGGTGCCTTCCGTTTCTAACAAAGTCAGAACTAAGCAGAAACAGCTCTTTTTATTTGTCTTTTCAAAAAAATTTTGACTGAACAGAGAAGCCTACAGACAGCAATTTCTGGTAAAAATTAAACACCTCAGATTACCATCTCTTTGAAGCAGAATCTGTCTTTTACTATACCCATGTCTAGGCCTATGTATAGTGCCATGAGATTCCAACTCATACCAAAGGCTTCCAGCACACTATATCACAAAAAAACCCTACATAATGGCAGCTAGTAAACACAGGAGCCATTTTAAGTCCCTAAAAGTACCAGTTTAGTAGAACTGCAAACAAAGAGACTTACCAGGTAGCTACTGTTTGATTTTAAACAGCAGTTATAACAGCCTAGTATTAACTTTGAAAACTGCAAAATTTTGTTAGAAATTCGCATTCAAATTATCAATAGACTTTAACAAAATCTACCTATTTGAGTCAGATACGAGGTACAAAATTTCACCACATGATCTGTTAAGGCCATAAAGGAGCCCATAACCTCAAGGTCTTGGTCAGACAGGAGGCAAGCCTGGGAATTGTGCAACAAGTCCAACTTCTCAGGGCAGGCCTAGGAATCTGCAAAGATGGGCTGCACTCATAGGCCTTGAAAACACAGTAAGGAGACAACTGTTCATTGCTTCACACCAGTGCAATATTCAGGATTTTCTCCTCAAAAGGGCAGTTTTGTTCTTCAGAGAAGAACAGTTTGACTGTCAAGCTCTTAAGTTCCCTGCACCGACTCTTTGAAGTTTCCAAGTTTACAAGCACTGCAAAAATAGTGCAGAGTTTGCATTTTCTTTAAATTGAGAGATTGCAAAATACACATGAAGGATTCACAGAGATCTTGCCCCTCGACCAAAGCCACATTTATGTAGAGATGCTCAGAAAATTCTGCTATCTACTTCCCAGAAAAACTCCCATCTCTTGAACCGGGCTGCTTAGGAGGATAATAGGGATAGTTTGCTCACATCCTCTGCCTTAAGATTCTGCAACTGCATGAACTGAGCTGTATCTTATTCAATTTTTGAATAGTTTTCCCAGCAACATGAAATAATTTGCAAGTTCAATGCAGATATTCATCCTGATATTAATTAGTTGTGCTTTGTCAAAGTAGTTCAAAGGATGCAATTTCAGTCAAACCACCTCTGTGTTTCAAATTCAAATAACTCCAGCTGAGTAGCAGATTGAATACGGAACACATAACTTTACCAAATCAATTAATTTGGAAGATGTCAGATCCTGTTTAAATTATATGAAATTGTATGCCAGCTGTAACTGCAATATATGACAGATCTACTACCACTTCTTGTTTTCCAGATGTCCATTTTGTTCTCTGCATACAGCAGGTATGTTTTCACTAGTATTTAAACAGGGTCAGAGAAGACCTTAAGTGAATGGCAGAAAATCTAACAAACACACTTTTTAAGGCAGAATATACTGCTTTTCACCCCTTCTATTCAAGGCATTTTATTTTTGGCTGAACATGACCTCTGTTTGGCTATGATGTGCCCCTATATTTATGTATGTAAGCTCTCACAAGCTGTCTTGAAAGCCTCTCACTCCTATGAGAGATCAAATTATTTGGCAAGTGCAAGGTGAGTTTGGGTGGGGAGGGGTTAAAACTGATTTAGGTTGTAGCAGCTGACTTATTACTCTGGTTATACAGTATGAGCCCTGTTATGAGCCCTGTTGCTTGCACTGGAACCAGTTAAAGTGCCTGCTATGTAAGAGCAAGGATTAGGCATGTAGCACCCTACCAAAGTGTTAAACTAAAAAAGTTTTAACCTTGCTTCTTTAATATGCCCCATGTGTCCCCCTTCTTTCACCTAAGTGTCCCGCTCAGGCTGTTACACATCTTGTTAGAATGACATTACTCCAAGTTAAAATTCACTGTCCACGTAACTCTACTGATAGCCAAGGGTGATTTTAAACAGCAGATGAAACCACTGTAGAACTTACAGGCATAAGATTACAGTTGCATGCACTGGACTGACGTACAGTCTTTTTTGTTCTAAACAACTCAAATGCAGATACTTAATGAAACTGTATTGTCATGAGAAAAAATATTTACTCAGATTGAACAAGAAATATAAAAAATGAGTTCCCCTCTCTCACTCTTGGAGCCACTCCTTCCCAATTGAATGAATGGCAAGAAGAAATGTATTTGTAATGTTCAGTATCCTATAACTTTAAAAATAGTTCTACTTACGCTGCAAGGCAAACACTGTTTACCCTCAATTATTTTAACTAGAGCTCATCACAACCACAAAAAAAAGCACTGTACTTTGACACCATTGTTACTTAAAAATTTCGTCCTGCAAAGTCTTCACTCAAGCCATTTTGAGACAACATCCTTATAAAACAGGTTTTCTTGGTTTTGCTTACCTCTTGGATTATCACCAATGATGTTGGTTTTGCCATTCCAGTACCAGAGCAGCAATGTTGCATCACGTGACCCTGAGAGGATGTAACAATTTCCTCCAATATAGGACTCAGAACGAGCAAGACAGGTTACAACATCCCAGTGTCCAAACACTACTTGTATCAGTTTACCTGAAACACATAAAATTGATCCCTTTAAAACTACTATTTTATTCTAAGGCAAATAAAATACATTATAATGTATTTAAGAAATATTTGTGTTATCAAAAAAAGGTTCAAAGCAGAACTGTAGTGGGCAGTACTATTTTTCCTTTATTTATTTGGTGGAAAGTTATTGAAAAGTGCAGTAGTCCACACAGTCCATACAAAAAATCCTTGCAGTCTACAAGTATTATATTTTATACAAAGGCCAAATGTGCCAGATGCTTTTTTTTTAAATCTGTATGCTTACAGACAGGAAATATGATGGGATTCTCTTTCAAGACAAGTTTAAGGTAAGTTTACTGATAAAAGTACCAGTAAGAATGCAAATCTGATGGCAATGTGGGGAATGTAATAAGAATTATAGAACACTCAGGACCCAGAGGAAATTGGTAGTGTGGGAGCTACCTAGAAAATACATCATGTGCAGCATTCGAGCATCTCCTTAAACAGAGAAAAGGAGATTTAGTTGAAAAATTACTCCTGTATCCAGGTTTTTCCATCACCATTTTAACACTTGCCAATCATTTCAATCAGCATCCTTCCCTTTTAAGAATTTCTGTAATGCTTAAAAGAGCTCAGAAGACAGACCTGGAAAAAACTCTCTCACCAACTGCATAAAGGACAAACATTTGTACCAGTGGCAAGAGTCATAAACGTTAAAAAGAAAGCCCAGGCAGTTAAAAATGTGCCATTCAAGAGTATGTGTGCAAACATGAATATGATTATTACCTTTTAACCTTAACCAAACAGGACAACATTTTAGAAAAATGTAAATTTGGATGCTCATGCATAGTGGATTTGCATGTGGGAGAGGAAACACGTGTGAGGTCGCCCGTGGCAAAGCTCTGCGACACCACCCAGCCGGAGGCTGGCTCCCACACAGCAAACATGTCATGTGTCCTGCCGGCTTCTGGATCTGCCAGTAGCACACATGATCCTAAGAAATGAGAATTTAAGCACTAAAATCAATCCATCTCACTGGATTTGCTGAAGCCCAGCAAGTGCAGATCTTGAAAAGATAGGGCAGAGGATACGCACACACGTTTCTAATGCGCCCGCTTGGCCCATCCAGGTAACAGGGGCCAGGCCAAATTCTGCACCCAGTGACACAAGGAAGTGTGATGTGTTATGCCTCTAATGTGTGACCTCAGGTTTCTCAAGCCCAAATGACCATGCATCCATTTGTGCTTTGGGCTGAATAAAGAATGAGGAAGAACAGAAGGGAAAAAGAGTGATGGCTTTGGAAGGAATAACAACACAGGCCAAAAAATACACAGGAAATGCAGACTACTGCATTTCTGAATAACATAAATAAAAATAAAATGAAATAAAATAAAATGTTCTGAAGAGTGTCTAAAAATAACAAGTAACACAAATCAGTGTGGGGACTCAAATTAAGCACATCTTAATAAAATATTTTGGTGCATGAATTAAAAATTAGTCAATCATTTAATATGGCTAGTAGTGAATATTTCATAGCTCTCTTTTTATGCAGTACAAAAGCACTGTATTTGTATCCAGCCAATAAATAAAACTTAATGGGAACAAAAGACTTAAGGGAGTGGTTCTGAGGAAAGAACAAAAATAATGTTAACAGCCTGACTCATAACAGAAGATCAAACAGGTAATTGCATTAAAGTGGAGAAAACCAGGAAAAAAAAAACAACCCACGAGAAAAAGCAGAATAACAAGATGGAATTTAAAGGAAGCCTGTACATCAGAATCAAAAATAAAACACTGGTAAAAGTTATTAAGCTGCTATAATCCTCCAAGAGAAAATGTGAGATGAAGCACCATCACATGAGCCTTTCCTAACCGGACAGGGCAAACCCCTGGATGCACACTTACTGTGCATATCTACCGTGCAGTGGAAGGATGAGTAACTTGGGGATCAAGCCTTTCACTCATATCTGCAAGTCTGTAATACATCCCACAGCAGCCACCTCTGCCCACCAGGGCTTTAATTCCTGAGGCAGGGTCACTTGTCTCAGACGTTGGCCAGTCAACAGATTTAGTCAGAAGAAGTTTCTGAACTTTACAGCTACAAGCAGTGAAACACTCACAGACTACATTTTGGCAACACACAAAAGCATCTTACCAAGTGTAGGCTTCTCCCTGAAAATCCAAGTTGTCAATTACATGGTTTAGATTTGAGAATAATTACGTGACATATTTTCAGTTGTACTGCCATAGATATTCAACTACCTGAGCCGATTCATACTTTTAGAACAGAAGTTTATGTTATAAACATCAATGAGCTATAGAGATCTCCCTTTCAATTATTTCTATGTTTATATGTTCTGTTCTAGAAAACAAACATTTTTCAAGGCCATTTGCGTGACAGTCGTTCCTGCAGTTGCACTGCCTTGTTAGTTTTACTTTGCTATTGTGTAGCTTAAGTTTTGGCCAATTTCATCAAAATAAGAAATAAGATCCTGCTCTTTTATACTGGTAAAAAAAAAGGAAAATTAATAATTTCATAAGAGTTCCTCAACTTTTTTGTTTCCTTTAAAATGAGTTGTCCTGTCTGTACAGTAATATCAAACTCTACCGTATGCACTCAGATATCCTTTTCTGACAGAACAATTTTTCTAGTAAATGTTTTATTTGACAGCTGTGCTACAAATAATTAAAAGAAAAATAAGACTCAAGTCAGCACTACTGAAGCTAAAACGCTGTCTAGAAATCCTTCCCACTGGTGAAGGAATGTTTTATTATGCTTCTGCTATACTAGCTGTGCTGAGAACCCATGATTTATGTTAGAAGTATTTCCTTTTAAAAACAAACAAACAAACCCAAAGTCTAATGGGAAAATGGTTCCTTTTTTTGTGTAAATGCTAAAATGTATTTGAATTCAGCACTTGTGATCACTTGCCATTATGCATTACTGATCACATCATCTTTTCCCTTGCTGTTCTGCCAATTTCAAAATATTTCACTACTATGTTCCCATTTAATTCAAAGCAAAATAAACTACATCTGGATTCACTGGTATAAGCTAGAGCTAGAGTTGCTATATTGACAGATAGGAGACACACAGAAGACACAAATCTCTTCTGACAATGGTATTCTGGTTTATACACTCATTAGCTACAGCAGGAACAACGTGCCTGCTAAATCTGCGTACTCACAGAGGAAATAAAGAGATATTTGTAGTTTAGATTGATACAGGACAAAGCTACCAAAATCATACAAGTTCCTCCCATACATGTAAGGAAAAATACATCCTTTGACATAAAAGAATTACTTCTCTGTTCGTATAAATCAAGAATATATACTGAATATTTATTACTGCTAGTGATCCTTTCTGAAGATCTACTTTAAATTCACAGTTTCATGTAAATTTATTTTCATCAATGAGAAAATTAAACTAAGAAGGGTCTAACAAGGTGTCTGTATAATGAATTGTAGGCAGTCAATATGACGTAAATGGAACTTCTCCTTTATACTTAAGGTTTTAAAATTGCAAAAATGACAGCTATGTTAAAATATGCCATGAGATCCAGTCTTAACAGATTTTCATTAAAGACCATCCTGTTTTGTTAAACATTTTGGCTTGTCAAGTGTGAAAAACACTGCTAACTAATATATTTAAGAAATGATGACAAACATGTAGGATATTCCCTAGGGATTAATAACCTACTGGAAAGCTTGATGGCACACACACATTAACCACACTGGGTCATTAATCCCAAAGAAGTACTTTGCAGTGAGGTCGCTGTTCCCATTATAAGATAATGAAAGGGAAAAAATCATACCTATTTTTTTTCTGGGGTACCATGGCTTTTAAATTCCTGTAGCTCTTACACTGAAAGATTCTTTTCTATTTAGCATGACACATGCATGACTTCAATGGTTTGGATACACTCCAGCTGACAGACTAATTTAACTGCTACCCATTATATCGATCAGTTTATGTTATATAAAAGAATTCAGTGCCTCCAGATCAATTTTTCCATTATAGCACAGCTTTCAAAGGCTTTCATAAATATTCTTTCATCAGATTTCAAGACTTAGCTTCTGTTCTCATTCTACGGTACTTCTCTGTATTTCCTCAAAAATTCTCTGGTGCTGAAAACCAACCAGCATTAAATTCAGGTAACCCTCTAAGAACAATTAATTCTCCTGATATGCAAGGCTTCACACAAACTCATTTACCTGTGGAAACTGCAGCGTAAGAACAGGCATCCCTATCCTATAGGTTTGAAGTGTGATGCTCTGTCTAAACAAGAGTTCCTCCTCTCACATTTGCCATCACTGCACAAAAATGATAGCACACACAACAGCAGTAGGTAAGAAAAGATTTGACAAATATTATTAGTAGGGGGATAAATACATACTCCACTCCTCATTCTTTCTTTATTTGAAACAGTTGGCTGACAATGAACAGAAAAAAATCTTTTAAGCTATCCCCATATTTTAAAAATACACTACCTGAGTCAGTAGAATAAACTCGGAAACTCTTGTCCCAGAAGCCGCAGACCAAGATGTAACGATTATCAGAGGTGATGACAAAACACTGGGAATGTACCTGAATGCTTTGGTCTAAAAGGTCAGTGATTTGCCTTCTGTGCATACCTGTATTGCTGGCTGAACAGAAAGAAACACAAACCAAGAAATTTTAGCATCCACATTCACAGAACAAAAGCACGTTCTAGAAACTTACGTTCAGACCAAATATATTCCTCACGGCTATTACTTGTTTTTTTGTGGTAGGGACGTTTTCTTTCTAATTCTATTACACTTTTGGAAACAATGCTAATTCCTTGTAGTACACATTCTAAAATAGAAGAACTGCCTTCTTTAAGTCAAAGGCAGCTGAGAAATACAAATGAAATATTTCGCAAAGGCATGATACGTAAAAACATAATAAGCGTCCTTTCCCCCTTCTTCTAGTATAAGCAATCAAAAATTAGAAACAAAGCAAGGGAATGTAATGATAAGAGAGTACATGAAATATATAATGGCTCAAACACAGCAGGCAACAGAATCGTTATTTCAAAATTGTACACTACTTGGATTTCATAGCAAGCATTGTAATTTAAAAAAAGAGTAACTTCAGTAGACATCACTACCATTTCACAATTTTAGAGCATTGCAAAAAAAATTAACCAGCTTACCTCCACAATCACCTTTAGGGCTAAGAGAAAATATTTGCCCCACTTTGATCATCTGATGGTTTACTTCACAGAAGCACAGAACCAATGCGGTTGGAAAAGACCCCTGAGATCATCGAGTCCAACCTTTGACCCAACACCACCATGTCAACTAGACCATGGCACAAAGTGCCACATCCAGTCTTTTCTTAAAAACCTCCAAGGAAGGTGACTCCACCACTTCCTTGGAATCATCACATCATTTTCTCCAACCATCTTATATTGGGAACCCACAGAATGAACAGGAATCAATTAGTGAAGACATTTTTCATACTATATTTTGTCCTTATTAATCAACGTGTGTGCACATATATCTCTAAGTCCCTACATATATATATATAATGAAAATGCTACACTGTAGGAAGAACTTTTCAATGTTCCCGAGGGAACTTGATTTCTATCCATGGCAAATAATTTTTCCCGGGCCTGGGTTTGTCTGCCAACTGCTTGAAGCATCATTACTTCCATCCAGGTGGTCCCCTGGACCTGCCTCTGTCCTGGTCTTGTGCTCTTCTTTACTGTTTATTCTTTAACTTCTTTCTGTTCTCACAGGCTTGCTCTCCCCTGAGCCTTGGGCTTATTCCATTTACTCTGTATCAAATCCTTCATTTATTTATGCTTTTGCTATGTTTAAAATGCTGATACTGTCTTGTCCATATAGGTAGCAAATAATTTAGCAAGGTGTTGCCACTTGCTCTGCAGTTAACACATGGTCTTGATTGCTGTTGGGGTCACTTAAAGAGTAACAACACCACATTATAAATGCACAGTGAAACATTCTGTAGGACAAAATAACAGCAAAAAATCTCAAAAAGCATGCAGATTGACACATGTGGATAAGACCTTCAAAAAATTTCACCTCAAAAAGAAGTCTTCAATTTATGTGATATGAGATATCGCTGGTTTATGTCTTCCTGGGAAAATGAGGAGGGCAGGAATCCCTCCTTACAACTAAGACAGCAACAAGGTTCCTGCTATAACCATAAAAGTGTAATTTTGTGGTCCTCTTAGGTGCCATTTCTAGGTAAATGTGTCTAGCCACAATTAAAACCCTTTAATATTACCTACATAATTACTTGTTTGCACCCAATGATGCTACTTAGCAATGACAAAGAAAGCCCCAACCCTTTTAAACTATGTCCAGTGTAATCACAAGGCTGATTTGAGATCTATCATATGAAGAGAATATTACACCATTTTTCAGAATGTGAACATTGATTTTAAAGGTGTTTATACCAAACAAAAGCCAAAGTACTTTATAAATTAAAGGCAGTCCAAAAAGGGAATTTTAATGTTAAAATTATGAAAAAACCCACAAAGGATAATAAAAATTTTATGTCCTTCCTCATGTTTTTCACAATATGTAAAAAAAAGTAATCAGACAAGTTCAATGTGATTTTGAGGGTTTTGCTGTAATATTTACAAGTACTTCTAAGATCTTCTTGATAGCAGGTTTTAAAGCAGAATATACATTTCCTGCTCCAAACATCTTTTGGATAAAATCTATTTCAGGAAGAAAAGAGAGTTACAGCATGTGTCCTCCTCATTATAAATTGTAACTATTATATTATTCAGTTGAGAATTGATTTTAGAAACTTTGGGAAAACATTTTATCAGCTCTTATAAAATGGTTTCATATGCCCACACTGTTCCTGATTTAATTATCACAGAGCTTACCCAGCAAAATGGCTACACAGGAACAGTCTGTACCTACAGACTGATACAACGCAGTTCCTACTGGGATATGCATATTAGTTTTGAAATTAATTCTAACTAGCTGAAAGACCTGCCATTCTAACCTATCCAGGCAAGTTCAGATCGCTCAGATTTTCCCATGCTTCTGTAATTGGCCACTTCCTATCTTTTTCACTTAAACTACAACCCTGAAATAGCTGGTTTTTAAACTAAGATCGATGTCTAATAGTGGTTGGGGGGCACAGAATCCCCTCTGCTGCTGTCCCACAACTACTTTGTGTTTTGGGGTTAGGTTGTTTGAGTTTTTCTTTTCTGATCCTATATAAGGCTCCATTTGCCACGCTACAGATTCCTGAATTACAGCCCAAGTATGCACTCCCCAAAGTTGGGTCTGTAATGAAAGAACTGACCAAACTCTAACCATGCTAATAGAAAAATCAGCCCTATATGAACTAATAAACCTCTATAATAAAAAGTCATGAATTGAATCTATTACACTGAGTCATTACATAAAAGAGAGACATTCCTCCACCCCTTTTTAATAAAAGAAAAACATACACAAATTTAACTAGTGAAGCTGATCAAAAGATGCAATACCCTTGAAAAACGAACACTAATATCTCAATACTAAAATGGAGTGGGCAATATATTTCAACTTTGAAACCGCTTTGCAATTACACATTAATCCCCTCAGCCTGAACAGCAGGTCTATGAAGAAAGGATTGATCTCCTTTAATGATGAAACCCTGGCACTATGGTTTTATTTTTCACAACACGGTGCAGTTAAGAACCCCACTGTTATTATGAAAATTTCCTCAGCAAAGGAGCTCCATCACATTACCAGTGCACCAATTCATCATAACGTGCCTCGCTCCTGCTCATCAACAAGTCTGAGTGATGAAAAGATCCAATATTATCCTGACAGTACTTCATGCACATTCTCAATCACACATTATTACAGCATCCATATTAATTTTCACTGACACGCGTCCTAGGCCTGTTCAAATTAGGCAAACCAACGAGGGGGAGTTGATGAAATACCAGCATAGCCACAGCTCATTGCATTCCAATTTGCATGCAAATGGTTTATCAGGAAAATTCCATTCCCAGCAACCAGCAAGTGAAAAACAACCGTAATCTACACTTCAGGGCCACCATACAGAGCTTAATGAATCGCAAAGAGAGAAGGAAGTGACAGACCTATGAGAGGATCGATTTCCACTGGCAGCTGGTAAGCCTGGTCTTGTACAGCACCTTGATGAGCTGGAATTCAGGAAAGAAGATTTTAAAACTTTGCATTTTTTTAACAGTGAAGCCACATGCATTTTATAAATCAAAGCTACGGCCTTTTTTTTTTTTTAACTGTTCAAGATTCTTCTGCATCAATTGAATTAAAAAAAAAAATCCAGGTGCTTTCACGGGCTGCTTATTAAACATTTATTTTAGATTAGTGCTATTCTGAATGTATGCCATCAGCAGCAGCTCTGGTCCTGAGCCATAAGCTCTAGCAGATGCTTTACTGGCAACCTCTCCTGTCGCAACAAAACAAAATTAAGTGGTAAAGAGGACTGAAAACAAAATGTGACAACCATCTGCTGACTGTAGTAAATACTATTTTCCTCTTTACTTTTTAAAACACTGCTTTGAACAACTGAAGCACAAAGGACATTTTTTTTTAAAAAGTCAGTTTATGATGCAGACAGGGAAATCTTGTAGTCATCCAGTATTTAAGGATTCATCCATCACCAAAACCCATTTTATTTGTGAGTTTGCATAGAAGTTAATACATTAATTCTGCCAACCTACATTTCATCTGGGCACTTGGCACACCAGTGAAATGTTTACGTACTGAATTCTCCTTCAGTGTTAGAAAGAAAGTAAGCCTTTTTTTTCTCAGCTTCACTAAAAACAAACAAGCAACCCCTGTCCTCCCCCTAAAAAAAACCAGCCCACAATACATTCTTTGAAGAGAAATGGATAATAACGGCTGAATACTTAAACCTATGATTTTTCCATCTACCATCCATAGCTTAATATAAAAATTAGTATCAATAGAAGGATTTCTTATATAAATGATTCATAAGTACATTCAAAGTTCTGCTGCAATAAAACACTAATACAGAGCAAAACACAAAATCTACGTGACAAAACTGAGCATCCTGCTGGGTACCAGTGCCATTAGATGTCAGCAAAGCCACCAAATTCACACACAAAGGCAGGAATGGGATTTTTAATTACACATTAGTGACAACTGGTCACTTGGCAACTTAACTTTTTCATCATGATGCCTCATTAGTAAAGACAATGCTTAGCCCACAGCAGGAGATATGGAGTAGTAATGATACCTGCTCTCTAATCCCAGCAGATCCCATTTTGGTATAAATTTGGAAGTCAACAATAGTGAAGGTTAGTCTCAGGAGTCCATACCCAGATATCTTAAGCACAATACTCCATCAACAACTTGCAGTTGACAAGTGTGCTCTCAGAGAAGTGGGGTGAGGTGAGTTTTTGTTGGGTTTTGGTTGGTTGGCTTTTGTTTGTTTTGATCTAGGTTTTCTTGAATTCTTTGTAAAGGCAAGACAAGTTTAAAATGTCTCTAAATGAAAAAACAGTGACTCGAAAGCACAGCTTACTGTTCTCCCTTTCAGAGGTGAGGGAAAAACAAATATCTGAAAGTTTTGTTCAGCTCAAACCAGTTGATTACCACAAATCAAAATCAGCTCCTACCACTTTAGAACCTTCTTTCTTTCCCATGACCGTTTTATGTCCAGAAAGGCCATTTTTTTAAAAGCCTTGAATATTATATGCCCAAGGTCACACATCCAAGGTATGAGAGGATACTGTCATCCTCCTTTGAAAGAAATCTCAGGAGTCCTGTAATTAGTTCTTGCTTACAACTTGTTATCTAGACAAGTCTCCCTTCTCCTCTTCCTTCCCACCTTTCTTTTTAAGCATTTCTTGGGTGGGTGAAATAATACATAGATGTTTCTATTTGGACAATGTTGAGAGGTAATTTGTAAGAATTAGGAAAAAGTGTGGGAGTCATCTGGCTTTTTTCAAAAAGTAATCAAGGACCATAGGTCAAGATTTCTCAGTAGGAATCTCAGTGATGTAAGTATTTCTCTGGTGCTAACATCTTCTATTTAAGTTATGTGAGTAGAAGCTCTTTTTTCCCTTTCTTGAAAAGCCTTTGACCAAATTTACTGCATACCACTGAAATAAACTACCTTTCCCAGCTTGGGTCTAAGACTGTCATAGTCAGGGAAAGGAGGATGAATGTTTTAGATTGGAAAATATTAGAATTAAAAGCAGAATGACTAAATTCTCCAGTCCAAGACATTTTTAAAGGAAAATTAATTTGATTAGTTGCTATGCAAATGGCTCTGGTGTTTTCTTTTCATACTGACAAATACATAAACACTTAATAACTTTGGGATGCTTAAGGTACAGACTTCCCCATGCATTTTATTTATTAATTCTCATTGAGTGGCTCTAACATCAGATTATGGGGTTTATAATCAACAAGAAAAAGACAGCAGAAAAGATTTCAGACAAGTTCTACATGTTTTAAAACCGTCTTAGACATGATATGGTTCAGGCTTCCAACTGACTGAAAAACAGATTTAAGAGGAAGAGTGTGCCTTTGGCATGACCAAATAGTGATACGCTGTTTTTTGTCTTCTTGCATGTTGCCTGATGGCCTGGAAAGCAATATATTGTTGTTACAAAGCTTTTGTGTGCTACACATCTCACTACACAATAGCTCAGATTACCTTCTCAAGGAGAAACTAAGTCCACATGTGAAGAACGTGCTGTGTCAAAGGACTGGACTTGCTCTTTCCACTTTAAACTTACAACAGTTCAGCAGCAAATCTTGACAAGACAACGGAAGCACTGCTTTATGGCACAGGTTTCTTAGGCTTCTGACTTTAATTTACTTACCAGGGAGATTATGCCACTTGTTTACAGCAAAGAGCCTGTTTGCAGTAACCGTGATCACGGCAGGAGTGGCCAGGCCAGGCTGGGTGTTGGCTGCCACGTGAGTGACAGGCGAGTTGGACGGGAACTTTAGGACCATGATAACGTCCTGTTGAGCTTGTTCTGTGAACATCAACGGGCTCTGCAGGAGGAGATACTGTTGAGTGCACACAACAAGGACCCAAATACACGGGAAAAGAAAACACAGGGAGGAGAAAAGACGGGACAAGAGAAGGAAGATTGGATTAAAACACACAAAATCAGAGAGCAGCTGCAGAGAAAAGCAAATGCAGTAATAGTGGACAGGCTTGTGAAAAAGACTATTTGAGGTAGAAAAACCTTTACACACACTATTAATCTCAGGGCCTTGCTGAACACAGAGAGTGTCTATATACAGACTTTGCTACAGATCACAGCAGATTAAACTAAAAGTTTTCAGTCACCTATCTCTGCCAAAAGAATTCTCCTTCGTATCTGCAGAGACAGTATGTCAAGGAAAGCAAAGCCTAACTAGGAGGGAAACAAAAAAAAAAAAAGTGAGCAAAAAGAATTCCTGCTCCCAGAGATTTTCTCAAGTTGCATTAAATTGGCAGACTGTAATTCTTTACAAGCCAGAGGAGAACATGAAAGCACATTAAAATAAACAGATACACACATACACTAGATGTATGTTCTGTATATACTTCTGGTGCACAAAAATAAGATTTATGAATGCAAAGTAGAAGACTTCACTGCAAATGTGTTTGAAAGGACAAACATAATTAAATGCAGTTGTAAAGAATATAAAGTGGATGTGATTACAGACGCTACCCTGTGTTGTTTCCAGAATGAATTCAGATTCTCATTTTCAACATAATTTTTTAAGGTTTTAGTTTTTTTAGTTCAGTAAGTTGAAAAGTTTAATAACTTTTTAACTAAGTTGTCTAAGAATATTGTAAATGTCGAAGCAAAATACTGAGGACCTTAGATCTGGATATCAAACATGAGGAGAAAAAGCAAAATGTAATGGGTTTATGACTGTGTGGTGCATCTAAAAAGAGAACCCCATTGAGAAGTAGAGGTACGATCATCCTAGTCACCAGTAGCCAGGTTGCTCAAGTATTTGTAATTTTCTAATAAACAAATTAGAGTACTAATGAAGTGTCCTTGGCTGTTTTCCACCTGCAATATTTCATTACATATATGTGTATGTAAGTGCATACATTTAATGTATATTTATACAGAACCAATAAAAAAATTAAATACATTTGCATTTTTATTATCACTCCTTTTTAAAAAGTTATTAAGAGTACTTAGAAAAACATATTGCTCTATGAATTCCTATTTACAGTCTTTGCATAAAGGTGTAAATAAAAGCAACTAATAAGCTACCCAGACACCCTTCTGAGCAAGTGGCTAAAAGCCAATCAATATTATGAGTTAATCCTCCCTGGATGCTCATTCAATTAAAGGTGTCAGTAATGCCTCATCTGATGTGGCCTCAATTAAATCCAGCTATCTGATGGTTGAAAACACAAGGGGATACAGCAACAGCAGCAAAACCAGACAAATAGGCAGCCATCGTGTGACTGCTAATTACTACACCTGGTGTATATTATGGCTTGTGCACTTAACACAGCACGTGGTAGCTTCCAATCCGGCTGTATTCATGCATTCATGCACACACACACACATGTGAAAACAAAACTCAGTAAATAACAGAGCTAGAAATAATTCAAAATTGTGACAGGAAAAATATCCTTGCTGTATTTCAGCTCCAGGAACTACTTTTAAACTGCTTTTAAAACCACCTAATGTAGTGCTATTATAAAATCACGTATTAATACCCACAAAACCGGTCAAAGCAAGTAGAGAACTAAGGACTTTTTTTCTGGGTGTACCCCAGCCCAAAAAACCACAGGAGTTAGAAACAGTTAACATCAGAGAATTTAACTTCTCATATTACGTACTAAATCATTTATATTTCAGCATCATGAAAAACACTATGATAAAACCACACGAACTGCTTCCTAGTATCAAATTTATTCATATAACAATGGGTCTGACAAACACGTCAACAAGCAACTCCTCAAGTTCCTTCTCTTCCTGAAACAAATCCCTTTAAATTAGAGCAAGTGCCTAGTGCATGGCACCATGACAGATGGACACACACATGGCACGGAGCTGCACGAGGGGAGTGTTTGGGCTCTCCAACACCCCTGTTAACAGAGCTCTTCAGAAAGAGAGAGCCCTGTGGGTTGCACACACAAGGCACTGCAGGAAGACAGGGACACTCCGTGGGAGGTCCAACGGGCCAGCAGACCACAAACCAGCACAATCATCTCTGTGCATCCCTTACAGGGGATCCCAGGGTAGGAGCACGACCACGGCACAGCTGCCCAAGCGTGGTATGTACTGGCTGCAGGAAGGGTGGTGGGGATGGGGGGACACTGAGCTGAGCAGGTCTCATGTACAACAAGTGACCCATTTGAGGGAGGTTAGTAGCTCAATTTGACAAGAAAGTTTAGATTTATCAGACTCCTACACCACAAGATTTGCAATCTACTTTGGAAACATGCCAGATTTTTGTGAAATTTTTTAAAACCTTCTCCATTTCATGTTTTAAAACTATCAACCTTAGTCTGCTTGAGTAGGACATATGTCCTACAGGACATACAAGAAGAAAATGTCTTTTTCTTATATTGCAGTGTAAAATGTTCATCTTAACAATAAGGGAACATAACCTTTTGAAAACTCTGTGAATTAGCAGACCATTAGCTCCACTTGTCAGAATATCACTTAACATACTTAGTTCTGGATCTATGACAACACAAATGATATTTTAAACCCAAAGACTGCACACAACATGATATGAAAAGTAATCAGTATAAAATAATAGTTTGTATAATAAAATTATATTCGACACAAGTAGAGGTAAAAGGGAAAGCATGTTAATGCTCACTGCCTGGATTTTATCACCCTAGCTTTACTGCAAAACACATTTAGTCACATTCTTTGCTATGTAAGTTTCAGCTCATGAATTCCTAGTAATCCTGGTTTTAGGGGAAAACCTATGCCTGGGGGAAAAGACAAGGAAGTTCCACCTCCTAAATCCATGTTTCTTGGGGAATCTGCCAAAGATTAACTAAATTGTCTCCATGATGACTGGCTCTCACCTGTACAGGTATGGTATTAACAAAAATCAACTGATGAAGTGTTCTTAGATTACACTGACAAAAAAAAGTCTGTACTAGAAATCAATGCAATCCTTTCAGCAATAAATAAAAAAAAAAAAAAAAGAGTTAAGCACTGCATACACTCCTACCATATCATAACTCATCTGCTGTTTTTAATAACATAATTCCACGACCACATAAAAGCAAAGTGAAGTGGCCAGTTCTGCAACTTTAAGACAGCAAAGGAAGTGAGCACAACAGCAGGTCACAAAGGGTTAACATGGTACTTACCACCTGCATGGCAGAGCTTCTTGGAGGATGTGGTTCTATGAGCAGTTGGGAAGGGGTCTGTCCAAAACTTCGTATTTGAGCTTCAACAGCCTGGAAAAGGCACAGGCAGGTTTGCATGTTAAGAGGTGCTAATTACAGGCAATAGAACCATAACTGTCACCTGAAAATGTCATTCCACACTTCTGGCTTGTTTCATGTTGAAAATCAAGCCCGTGTGTTCACTGTGGGGCTAAGTGCTTGGCACTGGTACTAAGAATGAGGTAATCACTTTAGTACTGTGGATGCTATTTCCATGAGAAACTCTGCAAAACCTCATCCTGCTCAATGATATTAAACAGAAACAAGCTATTATAATCAGAAACCCTCTTTATTGGCTCCATTTTTCCTTTCTAACACTGGCTTATGCTGTTTGTATCATAACTCAAAAGCAAAAGTTAAGTTTTAAAAAGTTTCTGTAGGTATTAAGAGTGTTCTACTTTCCTTCTATTTAACCTCCACTGCTTAGCTTCACAGCAATGCTGTACTTTTTTCTTACTTTGAGGTTTATTCCAAAAGAGCAAACAACATTAGGATGCATTAAACTAACAACTAATATTAAATGCAGCTAAAGGAGAATGTGAAGGTATGAAAGGTTTTTTAAAGTTTCTCTGTATCTTCAGCAACATGCTTTAGCACTTTCTTCATAGGCAATACATAAAAATATCATCTCATGTTTAGTGATTTCTTAAAAATAATTATTCTGAAATGTGTGAACTTGTACCTCCTGCCTAGGCATGTCCAACTAGTTTTCCATGTTGCCACCTCTTGGCCTACTGGCTTAAAGGTAACAACATTAAGCAGCCAAAATTCAACAAGTTATTCCTTGTCAGACTGGTCCCTGCACTATTCACAGAAATAGGCTGATACTACACAAAATCTTAAATCCTTCATCTCAGTTTACATCTCTTTCATGGTGAGCTGAACTACCCTGCACTTGCTGTGGGATAACAGACTGAACACGGGCCCATACTTCAGTTTCTCTGTTGCACGGAGCACTGAGCTCTACATTCCCAAAAGCATCCAGTGATGTTGAGTACCTAAGGTGAGGCATTACTAGGTTCTATTTTGAAAAGAAGTCTTGAAAATCAGGCCCTTCAAAGAAGTGTTTTAAATGGGATGCTTGAATGCTAAACCACCAAACCACTAGCTACTTTTATAGCTATATGAATACCATCATGCTTTTCTCTCAGAGTCTTCTTTTTCATGATTCAACCTTCCTGGAGGCTCCTTACACTTTTATTTGCTATTCTACTTTAGCCACTCATTAAAATTTCTGAGACAATGGGATTTATGCTGATCTTATTGTTGCAAACAACTATTTTTAGATAATAATAAAGACCATTACTAGGACACACAGTGTTCTCCTGTTACAGAAATAACAAAGCCAAAAGTAGAATGCACCTGAGGCCTTAAAATAATCATCCTCTGATAGGAAACATGCCATCCAAAACACTTGATCTTAATACATTTGGCAGGGCTTTTGAAACTTCTGAACTCATCAGAGCAGGAGTTGAAATCACTCTATGACCAGATTCTAACACTCTTGCCCACTCTGGGAAGCGCCATAATCTTCAAAGAACTGATGAATAAGTAAGTTTATCAAAAAGCTGGTTGAAATCTGACATACACACACTGTGATTCCATGAGTACGTTTTGAGGAACAGCAATATCAGTTCATGAAACACTAAAGCTCACTAAGACCATACAAGTCTCCTTCCTGCTGATGAGACATGCTACATTAAAATTCAAATCTGGGGTTTTGTGACTCGAGATATCAAGGGAATTACAAAGGCTTTGAGGTCTCTTAAGACATGAGGCATTAACAAAGCAACAGCATAATGGTCAGCAGCTCTACCCCTTCCATAAAAGCTGTTAGTTTCAAAACATCCAGATTTTAAAAAGATATGCCTACATTTACTTGCAGATTAAGAGGCATATTTTTATTAGCAAATGGGAATTCTGCTTTGCATTGAGGGTAGCACCAGAAGAATACAGGGGGAGCAGAAAGCAGACTGTCCTTGATGTCAATTATTCTATGCTTGTCAAAATATTTAGGGTAAATCTACAGTCCATAGGATCTACTATTTATTTCCTATTAAATATATAACTAATAAGTTATTCAAAATTAATAAAATATTCTTGAAGCACAACTCCCATGCATTTCTTTTAGAGATGAAAATAGAAGAAAGTGAGGAAATAATAAGCTTCAGATTTGTTAACTTCCTTTTATATTGACTTATGATCAATACAGAAACTTTCATTCCCAAATGCCCACATTCAGCATTTAAAGGGAATCAGAATTTTTTCTTAATCATGGAATCTGGTATGTCCTTTAATTTCCAATGCTACCACTTGAAATTATAGACTCTTACATAATACCAGTACTAAGTAAGGGAAAATGAAACACAAGATATCACAAATTGATGCAGAGTATTTCAAATTTCCAATACATTCATCATAACAAGAGCCAAAATTGATGTAAAACGAAAAATCAGATGTTATAATTGCTTTAAACCAATGAAAGATCAACAGTCAGGATGCTGTTTTCCACAGTCCAGATCTCAGAGGAACTCACTACCTTCCAGCAATGTAAAAACTGGAAGAGACACAGTTATGATTCCACTCCTTACTCTCACACACGATGCTCATCACAATCACACTCCTAGACCACCCAACAGCAGCACGAGAACAGCTATTTGCCTCCCACCCATTCTCAGTGCAGAAGAGAATCTCTCTGGGATATTACAAAGAAGTATAAAATATGCTACTCAACCCACCAGTCGAGAGCCACTGCCTGTTTTCACAGCGTTCTGTCAGACCTGGGGAAAATTCTGGCCAATGGGACAATGACTTTGCCAAAACCTGTCCCAGAGGATCACAAATTCTCTGTTTTCAGTCTTAACAGTCAGTTTCTACATCCCTGTTCATGATCTAGCTTGAGTTTGTGATGTACAGTTCCATCACAAACAAGTCTTTTAGACTCATTAGGTTCCATCTGGTCCTTCCAAAAAAATACGAGCGTCTACAGTTCCAGGACTGCAGTAGTCCCCTGACACTGTCTTTCCCTTTTAGCCAAGAGAACTGGGGAAAATCCACAATCACATCATGTCATACTACAGGTAACAAGGTTTCATAAAACATCAAAACTGCAGATAGAGTATAAAAGCAAAGATACTGGCATCTGTACGTCGTCTTTACTAGTGCCTTCAAGAGATCCAAAAGAAATCTGAACAACTCTTGAGTAAAGGCAACACCACTTGGACAAATATGTCTAGACATAGTGGCTAGACTTCAGAAAAAAAATCTCCTGCATTCCTTCTAATTACCAAGAAAAAATGTAAAGGTTTCTTTATTTAACTTCCACATTTCGTAATAACGACTAAGAGAGTGTATTAGCAACCCCAAATGATTCCCTTCTTTTCCTAGATTGTATTTGAAGTCAGCCCAGATGTCGACTCGAGGTTCTGATGTCTCAGTCAGAAGGATCACACACGGAAAGATGACCTTCCTCTGTCAGCAGAAATGTGATGGTGCAGCTACAATCCATCCCCGCTCTCTAAATTTACATAATATTAGAAAGAACCACCAGATGTCAATCAGACTTTTGTTCAACCTGTCAAAGAAAATCAGGCAGGAGCAAGGAATCTTTTCCTCAGAGTTATAATTAATATCTCCTTTGAAGAAAGCAACCTACTACTTACCTGAGAATATACAGTAAAATGACCAACAGTGAAAAAGTCATCCACTTGCTTTCTAATGAATTACAGCCCAGCTTCTAACTGAGTTTTCAGTATTACTAAGAGACAGACAGCTGATTCTAGCAGCAAAGGAAGGGCCTGTGATCTCACACTGCTGAATCCCCCTGGAGCATACAACCATTTAGATGACTGTAGGTAGAAATATTTGGGAAATTTCACTAGTTTCACATCTATTAAAGGCACTACCTTTGTTTGAAAGATATCTTTAGCTCTACAAACTCTTATTGCTGAAAGCATGCTGCACACCACAAACTAAAAGATAGTATCGGTCAACATTTTGTTTCATTGCTTCTCAAATATCTCAGTAAAACTGCCTTCTTCCTATTAATCCTCTACAAAAACAAAACTTTGGTAAGGCCAGAATTGTTCCAGATGCTACAACAAGAAGTAATAAAATGAAACAAGGTAAGCAACCCTTTACAATAATCCACACAGTATGCATCTCAAACCACATACTTACATAACACAGTGTTTTGAATGTTAATTAATTTAGAAGCATGAAAGCCATAAGCAAATTTCACAAGTTAACATTTATCTGGTTACCACAATAACCTGTTCCTTAAAAAGTCTCCTAGATCATCTCCTCTTTTCTTGGGGGGTAGGAATTAAGAGAGGAAGAGTAAAAAACTTGAAAACTTGGCTTAGTTATAATGTAGCTTCTGGCCACTGTTTAGTACGGATATTTTCAGTCTCTGAACTTACCCTCTAATCTAACTGTGAAGAAAGTTAATTCAACAGTATGCAGTACCCACCAAATACGGCTGTAAATTTTTTGGGAAGGAGGGTGATGGGGAGGTTGAACATATGGATGCAGTTAAGGTAAAAACAGATGTTTGTTACTTTTCTTTGCAGCAACACTCAGAAACTAAGTCAAAATTGCTTTTTTTTCATGTTTATGTCTGAAAGAACTATAAAATTAAATATGAGGGAGGGCGGGTGGAGGGGAAACTGCAGTGAGTGTCACAGAGAAAGAATGAAACGGTTTCCAGTTTTGAATTCAAATCCTGAAATGAAGGCCCATAATAGTTAAAAGGCAAGACATACACCATTTAACTCCAGATTTAAAGACCTTTAAAGGGACTAGCTCAGAGTGCTTTCATCATGCCTCCTCAGACACAAAACATTGAACTGCCTGAAGAGTCCAAGGGCACAGCACACACATGTTAAAATGCATGCCTGGGTCTGAGGGCATGACAAGCTACAACCTTACTATTCCCTACAAAGAGGTTGCTTTCAGTGCCCTTGCAGATCTACACCTAAGTATTCCCAGTTACTTCCCAAATCTCTAAGACT